CTTTATTGAATGACCATTTAACAAAAGTACTGAGTATTTATTTTGGGGAGTTGCACAAGAGTGAGGCTTGTATGGCTAAAGCAAAGAATATGAGTATAGAGAATGGTTGAAGTTGACCCCGTGTAGTGCGTGAACTTTTGTTGAATCTTTGATGTGATTGCAGGTATGTCTGTGGTTCGGACTCTGGATGTGACTGTCTGCGATTACATACATATATGGCTGAAAGGAGTCCCACTGTGACTGTGAGAAGTGATCGTCCTATATTAATAACCCTTTATATATATACGTACGTATATATATGTCTTGAGTGTTTCGTGCGGCCTATTGTGACCGCGCGTAAGGGTTGAACAAATTACGTTTTCGAGGGGAATGAGACTTTCCTTTATCCTTTGCTTCTTAAGAGATTTTTATAGCTGGACGTTGTAGTCCGTGGCAGCCGTTAAAGTCAAACCCCTTGACTTATCTCCTGCCCCTAGATGATGGAGCTGGTCTCCAGGGCGATACGAGACGTTTGCCACCACAGGTATGAACCTGTGTACCACCCACTCTCTGCAGGGTGCAGAAGAGGGTGTGGTTATCAACCGCACTTGACGGTTGTCCAGCGTCGAGAGATTAACCCTCAAGGCGCGTGTCAGCCGACACTTGAGTGTCGAATGCGACCCTTGAGATTAACGAAGACCGCATGAGTATGGGTACTACATAGTACGTCGTCATTACGACCGCTTGCGCACGCATGCATTGCGAGTCGATATGAGTTAGCCCTGCGTCCGCGCGGTTTTATACTAAGTCTCGCGCGCAACGCCTGTTTGATTTCCGCATAGGAAAGTTATGGGATGGTTACCGAGGGACTAGGAGCGTTGTCGCATTGTTCGTGTTATGTCGTTTCGGGCGTGTGTTGTGTGCGTGTGTTTTATTTTTGTGTTCGTGGAGTGGTGTGCGAGTGGTGTTTGGGATGCGTCCTAGTCGACCGACGACGAGTTGCGCTTGGGACCTCAGCCCCCTAAGATGTCGGTTCGCGTGCGGGTTCGATAGAGGCGTATTACCACGCGTACCCCCTATGCTACAGCGAACGAGAAACGCCCTCGGCTGGTCCACCTCTGCGATTGCAACTGATCTGTTTTCGTACTGTGGACTGATAGCTCGGCGGGGATACGCCCACCTAAGGGAGGTGACAACTCCCGTAAGGTGGAGGTAAGTCGTGCCTCGTGTAGGCCCTATCCTGTCGTAGGGGCTCGCGGGAGGTATGGCTGGCGCACTCGGCCGGAGCGGCTTGCGGAAGCTCCATGTACGTTCGTGACGAAGGATTAAAACCAACTCCTGCGTGGCGCGGCCGGGAGGGTCCCGCGCTGCCCTGTGCGGTGCCGGACCGATGTGCTCGACACCGCTACCATTCTTCCTTTTCCTCTGTGCCTCAGGCCAGATGCCACGTCGGCCTATGACGTAGTAATGACCCAGCGCCTCTGGATACCGCGCGTGCGTCAAGCGCTAACCCCCATCTACTTCACAACATCACAGCACTCTGGCACCAGCGCCTCCCTCCCGTCGGCTGCCAGCACCGCGCCACGTGTCAGCTAGCATGTTACTAGTCACCACAAGCCAGCACCTCGCCAGTCTCAAGTCACCAGCGCCCCACCACTCATCTGTTGTCAGTGCGTCGCCCCCCGCCAGCAGCCAGCGCCTCGCTGCACTCACACAGGCAGCGCCTCGCCACTCGCGAGAAGCGAGCGCCTTGCAACCTGCGAGAAGCCAGCMCCCCGCCACCTCCGACCAGCCAGCGCCTTGCCTGCAAGCAACCAGCATGCCACCATCCGCAAGCCGCGGCGGCGCAGCGCCCGCCAGCCATAGCGCTAGTGCTAGCGCTAACGCGCGCTCAGGCCTCCAACGAGGGACTGCCGGCCCGCTTAGCACCTCTCTAGCCCAACATGCTATGGAGGTTGACGAAGGAAGGAGGGATGATAGTGGGGAGGGCAAAGAGGTGGAGAGGCACCGGGGAGGCTGAGGGCGGGTCAAGGACAAAGATTCTTATGATGGGTTCTTCTGCAGAGATAGGAAGAGGGGAGACGGCGCCAGAAATGGGAGTAATCAGAGAGGAGAAAATAGTGCCTAGATCCTTGTCGGGTATAGAAAACTCTGAGTGAATGGTGACGTCGGAGGGGAAGTAGTTGAGAAGGAAGGGATAAAAAATAAGGGGCTTGGGGGGAGATGCGGTGTTGGGGCTGAGTGAGGTGGGGATGGTAGCAGGAGGGGAGGAGGGGGGAGTTACAACGATGGTGGGACGGTGGCGTGCATAACAAGCAGAGGTGGTCGTGGTGGGAAATGGGGGACAGGTACTTGGGGGGACGGTACTTCTCACAGTGGGAGGGTGGGGACAAAAGAAGACTGACAGACCCAGAAAGGTGGACCAGCGAGCGACTGGACTTGACATGTGTGATCACCAGCAGATGACAGGACTTGGCGACAGCTGACTGACGAAGGACTGAAGCTGATTGCCGTAGTGGCCGTCTGCCGTAAGACCCGTAGACTGGCAGGGGCAGTCCTCAGCCAAAAAGGCGAGGAGAACGTACGACCTGACGCTTGTGATTCCTGCGCAGGTTTGCCTATGCGATGAGTGCTGCGAGCGGGCACAGTCTGGAGGGCGCAGCTCGGGAGGCAACACAAGCTGTGGTGACCGGTCAGACACCTGTAACTTATTCCATTTCTGGCCAAGGCAGCGGTACCACTCGGGTTGGCGAGGCAGTTCTTCAGCCTGGGTGAGTGTCACAGCACTTGATGGAACTCATTGGATCCTGAGTTGATGACCTGTGAGTCGCTGATTCTTGAGGGACGTCCAGATGGTTGAGGCCGATGTCTTGTGTGGGCGTAGATGTTGACATTTAGTGGATGCGATTGCAGCTCCAGTTCGTCTACCCAGAAGTGGTGGCGACTGGAGTGCCAACCCGAATAACCGTATGGACTGAACTGAAAATGTTGGGACTGGTTGTTGAAACCATCGGGACCGGTTGATGAAACCAACTTTATTTGCTTTTATTTGCGGTTTTACTTGCCTTGGCCACGGTGCAGGGTACGGGGGTGGCTTCTTTTGATTTTTTAAAGAACTACCGATCCTCAAGTCGCGCTCGCACTGCCACATACTAGGCTGTTTCTACTTCTTCGAAAAAACAGGGCCACCTCCGGCTCTCGCGGAAAGAGGTGGGATCCCAAGATTTATCAAAAAGTGCCTCGCCTATAAGAAGTGTGATCAGGCCCTTACCAGCTGAGCTACACCCACTTGACAGTTATTTCCCTCTCTCTCCTCCAGCCCTACTGGCCATGGTCGCCATTGCCAGCGTGCCAGAAAAGCACACGAGTAGTAACTGCGACGGGGAAAGTGTGGACCTCGCTCCACTACTCTCCACATGCACAAAAAGACAAAAGATATGGCGCTGTTCTAATGGACTATTCAGTCTCCCACTTGCTCAAATTAGGAGATTTCGGCCGTTGATCTTTGCCATCTACGGTCAGTATCTCTTAATTCGTGCAAGTGGGACGTAGCCCCGGTAGTGGAGGGAGGCCCTGTAGCTGCCCTCCGCAAGCCAGTGGCAAGCTTTGAGCGCTCTTGCAGTCTTCCGCGTTGTAACGACCCGGAATGTAGCAAAATAGTAGTGAGCTCATTGTACAGTGCCGATTCGACCTCTTTACTTCGTTATCCTCGGTGGTGGGTGAATCCATACTGTACTGGATCCTTAGCCACGCACGCACAGAGGGTAGGCAGCAGTGGACTGGGGGCAGCAGTATGAAATGCAGTTGCGGTCTCGCCGATAGGGAGCTGATGGTGACGACTTTTTTTTTTTTTTTTTTCCGAGTTATATTGCGACGACTTTCCAGGTAGCATCTAGCCGCTTCTTGCCCACCCACCGATGTTCGGTCCGCAAACGCGTGGACCCCACTCTGTGGCGGCAGCTGGGCGGCCGGGGGCAAGGTCCCACTGGCGCAAATTAGGAGACTTCGGCCGTTGATCTTTGCTATCTACGCGATCAACGGTCAGTATCTCTTAATTCGTGCAAGTGGGACCTAGCCCGGGAACAAATCCGCCGTCAAAGTCGTAGTAGTCTGAAAGCTGCCCAACCGTCTTCAGCCGAAAAGAACGCCTGGTCATTATAGCTGTATTTTGTGCAGCTTTCAGTCCAAATACGGCGATAATTCCTCGGCGTTCTGAAGACGGTAGTCTCCGGCGCAAGGTAGGTGTTCCCCCGTACTACACATACACTAGTGAGAGGATGAGATAGATGAGTACTGTACGGTAGGGTCATATGGGTAGGCTTGCCTACTCGGCCCCTCTGAGTTGCCTCTGTATTGCACTGCAGCAGAGCGTGGCTCGCCCCATTAAAAAAAAAA